CAGCCCCTCCCTCTCCCAAGTCCTCGGGGCCGGCGTCGGGCGGGCGCGGGCTCCGGGCCTGGGTCCTTGCGCGCGCTCCGTGCGCCCTGCGCTCCCGCAATAAGGAAACGCGCAAGGACCGCCTGGGCAGGCTGGGCTTCCCGCCAGTCCTGGGCCCCTTCACCTTCTGTGAGGTCAAGGGCCACTGCTAGGACCTGCCCTAAAGACCCAGTCGCCGCCTGTGTCTTAATCTGTGCGACTGGGCGTGGATCTGCGAGCCCTGCCTGGATGGCTTTTTGTGCCCAGGCCAGGCTTGGGTGGTGGGGGTGGCCCCTGCGTGTCAGCACAGTGGAGTGCTGTCTGGGTCTCAGCGGGTTGTGAGTGTTTGGCTGTGGGCGGACACACAGAGTTTCTTCCCATCCCGGGTGCCCCCTCTCACCACTCCTGTTCAACATAGTACTGGAAGTGTTAGCCATTGCAATTAGGCAAGAAGAAGAAATAAAAGGCATGAGGCCTCCTTGACCCCGGCCCGCAGCGGCCCGGCCTGTCCCGTCCACTTAGACAAATTGCAGCTGACAGGCGCGTAGTCTCCCTGGAGTCGCCGCCCGCCCGTCGCCTCCCTCCCGACCCAATTACCCGGTGCAGGGTTGGGCCAAGTGGCTGGGATGCGGCGGGGGGAGGGGGGGAGCAGGAGGTGTGACCTCTTCCCGGGTTAGTGCGTGGGCAGCCAAGGCCTGCCTGTGCCAGGACCCGATCGTCCAGGCGGAGGTGAAGGCGAGGCCCCGCCCGGCCCAGGACAGGATAGACCTGGCCCTTGAGGGGTGTCGCTCTGCACCTGAGCTGGCCACCGAGGACATGTCCCCGCAGCACTTCGGGGATCTGAAGCCTCGGAGTGTTGGGGATCCCCTACCCCTGGGAGCTCCAGACCATTCACTGTCCTGGGGTTGAGGCCCGTGGGTCCCAGATGTCGGAGTTGGCAACAGTGAGGTGCACCTCTGTGAAGCTGCACGTGCGTGGACGTGAAAACGCGTGAGGTCACGTGTCCGGGTGTCCGGGTGTCCGGTCCGGGTGTCCGGACCCCGGCAGCGTGAGCAGGCCACGCTGCTTCGTGGCTGGAGAAGGGGGCGCAGCGCAGGGAGGACCCTAGGACCAGACCACCTGCCCGGAGAGAGGGCGGGCTGGTCTGCGCTGCGAGCTCCTCACCAGGCTCTTGATTCGCTTTTGGAAATGCTTTCGCTGGGAGCTGGGGGCCGGATTCCCTGGGCAGCGCACCGCAATGTTGGCTCCCACTGCGCCGCATGCGCTCTCCCTTCCCGCTGAAGAGCTACCTGGCCTGTCCCTCCCATTGGCCTCCGGGGCCTCGAAACACCCTTTAGCCTTTTTGACCTACAGTTTCCTCTTTGCCTGCTTTGGCCTTGTTGCTCCTATCAGCAGGGCATGCTCCCCCCTCTCCCTCCTTCACAGATGCAAACCCTGAAGCCCAGTGCAGCAGTAATTTACCTGAGGCCACACAGCTACCAGTGGGAGACCCTGGGAGCTTAAAGGAGAGTGAGGTTGGCCCCAGCTAGTTTGGCTCGGTGCATAGAGCCCCCGGACTGAAGGGTCCTGCTTTTGATTCCCTTCCAGGGCACCTACCTAGATTACAGGCTCAATCCCAGGCCCCTACAGGAGGCAGCCAATCCATGCGGTTCTCTGTCTCTCCCCTTCCCTTCCACTCCCTCTAAAAAAAATCATGGAAATACCCTCAAGTGAGGATTAACAGCAACAACAAGGTAGGCTGGAATTCACTTCCTAGGTGCTGGTATCACTGCTGTTCGGGTAGCTACTCCTGCTCATACAGGAAGGCAGTACTGAGACTCCAGGGCGCCACCCTCAGGCTGGGTTCTTGCTTTAAAGACCAGACATACAAGAATGCTCTCTCCTTTGCCCTGGAGTTTCCAGCTCTAAATCGTCGGGAAGGAGGCTGCCTTCCCTATCACACAGGGACAAAGAGCAGCTTCAAAGTCAGTCAGGGGCCCTGGCCCCGGCAAACGCCCGGGTGGCTCGGTTGGTTGGAGTACCCTCCTGCACATCGAAAGGTTGGTTTAAGTTTCGCAGAGCAGAGGGAGGGGGCTTGTACAGGAGGCAACTGATGTTTCTCTCCTCCCTCCAAAATCAATAAACATACCCTCGACCGAGGAGCTGGAAGCTCTTGGGGCTAGGGGATGGGGGTGATTAGACTCAGAGTCTTGGATCTTGTGGGGACACAGGTCAGCTCAGAATTGGAGCCCTCATGTGAGGTAGCAAGGAGCAGGTAGGCACCAGCAGGCTAGCTGTGTGACTTGGTGACCTTGGGCAAGCCCTGGCCTTCTCTGGGGCTTAGGCTTCTTTGCAAAATGAGGACCAAATAGTGCTCTTTTAGGTACCTCTAGTTAGACAGTCTTTGAGCTGTGAAAATCAGAAAAGTCGGCACCGAGAAGCCATTTCCAGTCCCAGACGGCAGCTGCCTGCCTGCCTGCCTCCACTTGCTTCCTGGGGAGCTGGCAGTTGTGTTTGACAGATCGCGCGTGTGCACCCCACGTTGCCTCTGAATCCCTGGCTCTTTCTCAGATCAATCCCAGACAGTGCCCTCTCTCCTTG